TCACTTGGTAGACCAGGCTGGCCTCGAACTCACAGAGATCCGCCTGGCTCTGCCTCCCAAGTGCTGGGATTAAAGGCGTGCGCCACCACCGCCCGGCAAGAGTTACTTTTAACCTGCAGAAACTTCTCAAACATGCTCTGATACATGCACGTTAGTAATGAGCATAGAGCTCGATAAACTGAGCACTTTGTGACAGCTCTTTTGAGGCCTCTATTACTTTATACTGACTATCAGAAAAGCATGGCAGTTTTTATTTCAGCACCTTGTGTGGCAGGCCAGCCTCCAAAGGTGACCCATAGTGATCTTTGCCTTCTGTATTCCACAATGAACTAGGGTTGGTTTGTGAACATACCTACCCTCCACCCTCATATTTATGAATGTGAAAAGGACTTCCCACAAACAAAAATAATGCTTGGATGCTGCACAAGATGAGAACTTTTCCTGGAGTTCTACTGTTGGGCCTGTCTTAGCCAAGAGCTGATGGCTTCAGAACTTTGCAGATGTTTTTAATTTCTTTGCATTTGCAAACTTTGTCAGAAGCATGTGTATTGGGTCCCTCAGAAACCACCCGGGCCTTCCTGTATTCAGCAGAATCCTGCACAAGGCACGTGGTAGGTCGAATCCCAGAGGACAACCTGCCCTAGCAGTAACCATCTCACCTCCCAACGTCCGCCTTTCTTCCCTCTTTACACGCTCTCTGGTTTAGGATATCATTGGCACCCAGAGAATTCCTAGAGGATACTCTGAGCCACTGGTGTTGACCAGTGGTCCTCACCCCCCATTCCTAGCTAGTTTTCACCCCCCTGGGCATGGCTAATCAGCCGCACAAAGTGCTGTAATTTTCCACTTCAAAGGATAAATGGAAAGAATTATGAATTTGGGCATGCTTACCTAAAACTGAGACTTGACAGCAACCATCCTGAGTCCTTTATCCCATCTTCATTGCAATTTTCATAACTGTTCTAGATCACCAAGAGACACGAGACTCTTAAGTATTTCAAATCGAAACTGGAATTTCACTACATTTATTTAAACCCACTTCTAAGCTTTTCCTTCTGTAGAAACAGCCCCCCCTTTGGTGTAGGGACTTGTCACTACCAAATTTTAATAACTCATCTGTGGCCCCAACACCCTTGTTTGCCCTGGGCACCCAAAAGCCTGTTCCCTAGAAAGGTTTTTGTTTTGTTTCTTAGCAAAGCTGTGAGTAGATGGTTTGGTTTCCCTCCTGTCTTCCCCCCTTGTCTAACCCTGACTGTTACCTGGGAAACCTCTTCCCTCACAGTTCACAACACGGCAACACTCAAGAGCAGCTTGATGCTTTTTTAATTAGCCAAACTACAGGTTTAAATCGGGTTTGCACTGTTTTAGAGTCCAAACCAAAGTTTTCCTTGGCCTTTCTTTAGGAGAAATAGAGCCCAGGTTACCCCTCCCATCCCCTAGTCATCAAGCTTATTTGGCCGGAGGGTTGCTGGCCTTGGCCCCGCCACCATAGTGGTACTTAAGGTAGCGGCTCCCCTGAATGCTCTGCGCCACCACGTTGGTGAGATGGCATGCCATCAGCAGGTAATTTCGAGGCTGGACCCGGTAGGCAAAGCACATGAAAGCCATGGAGTAGAAGATGAGCGCCGTGGTCATGCGGCTGCTGCTGATGTCAGGAGCCGCCTTCATATCCTTGAAGGCGGCCAGTGGAAGGCCCCAGGTGGCCATCGGACCCCAGAAGTGGGTGCTGGTTATGTAATCCCGGAACTCCTTGGTCTTCACATAGTCTTGAGTTTTCCGCATTAGCACTGTGACCCCCGCCATGATTGCCTCAGTCAGAGAAGTGCCAAGGCCAAGCTGCCAGCCAACAATGAAGCACTGAACGCCGACATCGTAGCTGACCCTGAGGCAGCAACAGCCAGCAGCAGCTTTCGGGCCTCTACCGTAAAGCACATCGGGTCCCACGTGCTACTGCTGTACTGCTGCCATGCTCAGCTGACGTGGGACTATTGGCCTGGAAGGACGTGGCTTACACCTGTAGCACATAGGACCTCACACATGTGCCCTTGTGTATGATCTCCGGGTGGACGGACTGTATGTAGTCCATCGCTCTTCCTGTACCCGAACCCATGCAGACACGGGCACTGAGGGCTCTCCAGGCTCCCCAGGGCAGCAGTGAGCCAGCCTCTTCTCTCCAACTGTTGTAGAAGAGACTGTTACTTGTTTCCTCTGGCCTCGAACTCCATGGCAATTCAATTTCTCAACCAGGGATAGAAATTCAGTTTTTAGTAATTTGAAGACAGTGCCATTTCACCCCTAAATATTCTAGCATCTGTCTCTTAGAACAAAGATAATTGCCTGTCTGGCCACAGTACCATCATCCACTCATAAATACTCAGGTCTATATACAGTACTGTTAGCTGTTAGCCAATACATATTTAAGTGGTAGAACTTGATGACTGCCTTTGGTTTTGTTTCTCTCCTTCTTTTTAGGACAAATTCAAAATCCAGTCAAAGCTCACAGTTGATTTACACTTGGGGCTGGTCAATCTCCTTAAATCTAGGACAGTTTCCCATCCACTCCTTTTTTTTCTTCTGTAACACTGATATTATTGAAGAGTCCAGCCCATTGGCTTTTCAGAGCGTCCTTAATTTGAAAACATTGTTTTTGTATTTATAAAACAAGAGCAGCATCAGTTATATTGTCTTTAGTACATCACCAGGGAGGTATCTGGTGTCACTTCGTTCCATCATTGTAGTAAGCTGGGTACTTGATTGATTATGAAGTCGTCTGACAACCTCTCCATTATAAAGGTTGTTTTCCCCTTCATTAATTAACAGATAATCTTAGGAGCCACTTTGGTAGTATATGGGCACCCTATTTCCAACAGCTTTCCATAACAAATGTTTGACGTCTCCTAATGAAAATTCTTTAAAGACTTATTTTAGGCACACGTGTGTATGTGTATATGTGTGCCTATGGTGTGGTGGGGCTCCGGAGACCAGAAGAGAGTGTCCGGTCCCCGGGAGCTGGAGTTATGGGTGGTTGTGAGCCACCATATGTAGGTGTTTGGGAACTGAACTCAGGTCCTCTGGAAGAGTGCCAGGCACTCTTAGCCACTGAACCACCTCTCCAGTCCCACTGAAAATGACTAACTTAGTGGTTATTTTCTCAATGGCTTTACTTTGTCTAGTAAAAATAGCAATTGTTGGGCTAGGGAGATGGCTCAGTGGTTAAGAGCACTTGTTGCTCTTGTGGAGGACGTGGGTTCAATTCCCGGCACCCACATAGCTTCTTGTGACTGTAACTCCAGTTCCAGGGGATCTGAAGCCCTCTTCTGACCTTCAAGGACACAAGGCACACATATGTTGCACATATATACATGTAGGCAAGACACATAAACACATAAAATACATCTTAATTTTTTTAAATGGCAATTGTTGAAAAGTAATTGGATATGCATTAAAATACTAATATCTTCTGTGGTGATTTACAAACAAGTAACCTGAAAAATAAATGTTTTTCTATTGTTGGGAACATGAAGGTCCTTGCACCTACAGATCTCCATGGAAACCAGGAATGTTAAGCATCCAGGGTTGTCCTTTCAAAGGGAAAGACATATAATCTGTTTTTCCAGAAGGCTGGGAAATGGAGGTGATCAATATCCTGGTGATCTGCGTTATTTGTTGGACCAGGCCATATCAAACTGCTACAACCAGGACCAGAGGTGGCTAGTAATCTAAATGACCCTTATATTACCTCTCTAGCTAGGGGCTCCCACCAGCAGGACTAGAGATACCTAATAGTCTAAATAACCCTTACATTATTTGATACCTAATAGTCTCAATGACCCTTATTAGTCTAAATGACCCTTACATTATTTGTATAATAATGCAGGTTCAGGACCTTGCAACCAGGACCAGAAATAGCTAATAGCCCAAATGACCTCTATGCTGTCTGTGTGAGCAAGACCAGACCAGACCCTTCCCTAGGCCATTAAGCTAGTACAGGTAGCCTATCTCAAGAGCTCATCTTCTTGGAAGAAATGACATATACTTTGAGTTAAGTTTTGATGTAATTATGCCTCTTTGTGCACTGGGGATTGTGTTATCCCAGGAAAGTTGTTTTCTTTTCCAGATTCTAATGTGTTTAAGTATGCTGGCCGTAAGCCTTCTGGCGTCAAACTCTCTAGAAGTTTGGTCTTGGTTGACAAGTCAGCCTGAACCGAGTTTTCATTCTTGCTTCTTCAGAGTTCATCTCCCTGTCTGCTGTGACACCTGCAGTGACCCCTCAGTGTGTATTTACATCCCAGCTACTTCATAAATACAGTTTGAAATACATAGTGTAGCCAGACAGAGTGAGATGCACCTGACCTTGACCCGCTGAGTGCGTTGATCAGTTCACTAAAGGAAAGAACTGATAGAAGGAATATGTATTCAAAGCGGGTTTATTAGACCGGCTTACAGGACATTATCCGAGTAGTCCAACATTGGTTGTCTCGTGGTAAGAAGGTTCAGCTTTTAAGATTGGATGTCTGAGGAGTCTCAGTTTGGTGCTGGAGGCCTGGACGATTTCCTCGAGAGCTGCTGCTCTTTAGTCTATATTGGAATCCTCAAGACATTGGATTTAAGCCAGCAGCAATAGGAGAGTCAAACTTGCCAGCAAGAGCGAGGGCAACAAGCCAGAGTTTCCTTCTTCCATGTCCTTTCATGTGGGCTCCCATCAGAAGGTGGCCTGTTGTGGTACTTAACCAAACAGCACCAGCATGAACATGGCTGGTGAGCTCCCATCATCCTTCACAAGAAAGTGATGGGAAGAGACAAGCAAGCACAAAGATTCATAGCTTCTCCTAGTCTCGAATGTACCATGCCACACTCTTGTGAGCTTCTTGGTCACGGGCCTTTGGAATCCTGCTTGACATGAGTGACCACAAGCCAACCCAGCTTGCAAGTCAGTACCAGTGCATGAAGTTGTTCTTTAAAAGTTTTCATTTTGAAACCATTTTAAACTTATAGCAAAGTTGGAATACTCTTTACAGTCCCACAAAAGCAAAAAAAAAAAAGTTCCCCTACACCCCCATATATCCTTTATGTAGAGTCGCACCAAGAATCGGTCCATCTTTCTTTTTCCCTCTAGAACACACTACGTAACTGCTGATCCTCCTGCTTTCGGCTTTGGAGAGGTGGGGTCACAGGCGTGTGTTACCATACCTGGCTCCAAGAGTATTTCCTAACACTGGTGAGTATTTCCTGGTTACTTTCTTTTACCACCACCTCAAAATCAAGACATTTAACATCATAACTAGTATACAGTCCATGACCAGATTGTGCCAATTGTCTTGGTAATATCTTATAGAATAATCGGTTCTGGAGCTGATCCAGACTAGAATCACATGTGGCAATTATAACACCCCTTTAGTTTCTACTTTAGAGGACTTATTTTTATTTACTGTGACCTTGAAGATTCAGTTCAAGCCTGAAGTTCAATGTTTCCTTGTGCCTACCGCTATGGTCTGAATATGTATGTATTCTTGAAAAAAATTCATAGCCTGAGGTGGACATGGTGGTGCACACCTTTAATCCCAGCACTTGTGAGACAGAGGCAGATGGATCTCTGAGTTTTGAGGTCAACCAGGGATATACAGTGAGACCCTGTCTCAAAAAAAAAAAATCATACCTTGGGGCCTACCAGGCCTGGTAGTGTGTCCTATAACCCAGCACTTGGGAAGCAGAGAGACAGGAGGACCAAGATTTTAAGGTCATCCTTAGCTATATATTAAACAGGATTCTCTAGTGGAATGGAACCGAGAGATTGGGGGGGTGTTTATAAAGGGAATTAAGGGGGTTTATTAAATTGGCTGACATGACATGGTCTGAGTAGTCCAGCATTGGCTGTGTTCACACAGGAGGGTCCAGGAATCTGGTAGCTGCTCCGTTCCTGAAGCTAGATGACTAAGCAGTTCCCAGTCTGGCCTGCAGGACACCGGGAGAGTTGCCGACTTCGGTTCATGTTAGAAGGCTGGAGAGCGTGGGTTTTGCTATCACGGACGGACGGATGGTGGCGGTGTGGCAGTGTGGCAGTACTCTGGGCGGCAGCACTCAGCAGCAAAGGCAAGCAGGCAAAGAGCCAAAGATTTTCCCTCAGACCTCTTTATGTGTGGGCCACTGGAAAGTGCTGCCCGCATTGGGGTGGGGGTGGGGGTGGGGCCGCGCTTTCCACTTGAGCTAACCTAATCAAAATCGCTCACAGGCCTGCCAGGGGCTTGTCTCATGGGTGGTTCTCAGAAGCAGAGAAACCTCACCAAATGCTGAATTTCCCAAATGCTTAAATTTTGGACCTCCTAGCTTCCAGAACTGTGAAGAATACATTTCTGTTATTTATAAATTATCCAGGCTAAGTAATTTCATTATAGCATCTCCACCTGACTCTGACAGCTATCTTGAGGGTGTTCATTTTTGGCAGGTACACAATGGAAGAGATGTTGTACCAACAGGGTATTGTGTTAGGAAGCACGTGGTCTCTGTGGCTCTTTATGATGTTAAGGTTGTGGTTGCCAGCTTTCTCTCCTGTAAAGTCAGCCCCCCCCCCCCCGCAATTAATAAGTAATTTGTGGGAAGATACTTTGAAACCATGTAAATGTCTCCTTATTAAATATTTAACCCTCGGGTGTTAACATCCATTGATGAATCTTACTAGAATCAAGCATTATAATGACAACATTTTACTTTTTAAGAGTTTCCGTCTCCTAATTTAAAACACTAAACATCAGAAATATATTTCATTAAATTTGCCCTGGAATGCTGGTCAGTGTTTTGTTTTAAAT